CGTTCGATTGCCCCGAGGGCCTCGTCCACTCCCCCTGCGTCACCGCCTGCACCGCCCCCTCGTGCGTGTTGGGGGGGGCCCCCGTGGTGTTGGGGGGGGGCCCCCGTGGTGTTGGGGGGGGGGCCCTGCGGCGTGCTGGGTGAGGGCTGTGAGTGTGCCAAGGGGACTCGGCTGCTGCGTCCAGACGGACACCCACTCTGTGTGCAGCACAGCACGTGCGGTGGGTGGGGGGGGGGGCACGGGGTGGGGGGGGCACGGGGTGGGGGGCATGGGGGGTGGGTGGGGGGGGCACAGGGGTGGGTGGGGGGCACGGGGGGGGGCACATGAGGTGGGTGGGGGGCACGGGGGGGGCAACGGGGGGGGCACGGGGTGGGTGGGGGGCACGGGGTGGGGGGCACGGGGTGGGTGGGGGGCACGGGGGGGCACGGGGGGGGCAAGGGGTGGGTGGGGGGGGCACGGGGTGGGGGGCATGGGGGGTGGGTGGGGTGGGCACGGGGTGGGTGTGGGGGGCAAGGGGTGGGGGGTACGGTGGGGTGGGTGGCGGGGGGCACGTGTGGTGATGTGGGGGGCACGGTGGGTGGGTGGGGGGCACGGGGGGGGCACGTGTGGTGATGTGGGGGGCGTGGTAGTGGATTGGAGGCGTCTGATTGGCTGAGTTATTGTATGATGACGCTGCTGGTGACACTCTCCCCCCCCCGCCCCTCCCCCCCCCGCCCCTCCCCCCTCTCCCCCCCCCGCCCCCGCCCCCCACAGAGTGCGTGGACTCTGAGGGAGCCCCCCGCGCCCTGGGCGAGGAGTGGGGGGCCCCCCACTCCCCCTGCTGCCGATTCGTCTGCAGGGAGGGGGGCCACGTGGTGCCCGCTCCTGGGCCCCCCACGTGCCGCCCCCCCACGTGCCCCCCCCCCCGCCACGTGCCCCCCCCCCACCAGCCCAGAGGCCCCCCCCCACCACCACCCCCCCCCCAGGGCGTGCCCCCCAGGACAGTCGCCCGTGTGGGAAGGTCCAGCACAGATCTGCCGTGGGTGGCTCCTCTTGTGGTGGTGGTGTAGTTGTGGTGTTGTTGTGGTGTAGTTGTGGTGTTGTTGTGGTGTAGTTGTGGTGTTGTTGTGGTGTTGTGGTGGTGTGGTGGTGTTGTTGTGGTGTTGTTGTGGTGTTGTTGTGGTGTTGTAGTGTTGTGGTGGTGTTGTGGTGTTGTTGTGGTGTAGTTGTGGTGTAGTTGTGGTGTTGTGGTGGTGTGGTGGTGTTGTAGTGTTGTTGTGGTGGTGTTGTGGTGTTGTTGTGGTGTTGTTGTGGTGTAGTTGTGGTGTTGTGGTGGTGTGGTGGTGTTGTTGTGGTGTTGTTGTGGTGGTGTTGTGGTGTTGTTGTGGTGTTGTGGTGTTGTTGTGGTGTTGTTGTGGTGGTGTTGTGGTGTTGTTGTGGTGTTGTGGTGTTGTTGTGGTGTTGTTGTGTTGTGGTGTTGTTGTGGTGTTGTTGTGGTGTTGTGGTGGTGTGGTGTTGTTGTGGTGTTGTTGTTGATGGTGTTGTGGTGTTGTTGATGGTGTTGTTGTTGTGGTGGTGTTGTTGTGGTGTTGTGGTGTTGTTGCGGTGTTGTTGTGGTGGTGTTGTTGTGGTGTTGTGGTGTTGTTGTGGTGTAGTTGTGGTGTTGTTGTGGTGGTGTAGTTGTGGTGTTGTGGTGTAGTTGTGGTGTTGTGGTGTAGTTGTGGTGTTGTTGTTGTGTTGGTGTTGTGTTGTTGTGGTGTTGTTGTGGTGTTGTTGTGTTGTGGTGTTGTTGTGGTGTTGTTGTGGTGTTGTGGTGGTGTGGTGTTGTTGTGGTGTTGTTGTTGATGGTGTTGTGGTGTTGTTGATGGTGTTGTTGTTGTGGTGGTGTTGTTGTGGTGTTGTTGTGGTGGTGTTGTTGTCTTGTTGTTGTGGTGTTGTTGTTGTGGTGTTGTTGTTGTGGTGTTGTTGTTGTGTTGTGGTGTTGTTGTGGTGTTGTTGTGGTGTTGTGATGGTGGTGGTGTGGGGGAGTGAGTGAGTGGGTGGGTGAGTGGGTGAGTGAGTGAGTGGGTGGGTGAGTGGGTGAGTGAGTGAATGAGTGGGTGAGTGGGTGAGTGAGTGAGTGAGTTGGTGAGTGAGTGGGTGAGTGGGTGGGTGGGTGAGTGGGTGAGTGAGTGAGTGGGTGTGTGGGTGAGTGAGTGAGTGGGTGAGTGAGTGAGTGGTGGGTGAGTGGTGGGTGAGTGAGTGGGTGAGTGAGTGAGTGGGTGAGTGAGTGGGTGGGTGGGTGGGTGAGTGGGTGGGTGAGTGGGTGGGTGAGTGGGTGAGTGAGTGAGTGGGTGAGTGGGTGAGTGAGTGAGTGGGTGAGTGAGTGAGTGGTGGGTGAGTGGTGGGTGAGTGAGTGGGTGAGTGAGTGAGTGGTGGGTGAGTGGTGGGTGAGTGAGTGGGTGAGTGAGTGGGTGAGTGAGTGAGTGGGTGAGTGAGTGAGTGGGTGAGTGGGTGAGTGAGTGAGTGAGTGGATGAGCTTGTCTTTCGAGACTGGGGACCTTAACTTGATGGGACCTGATGCTGCTGATGATGATGTTGATGATGATGGTGATGATGATGGTGATGTTGATGATGATGGTGATGATGATGGTGATGATGATGGTGTTGTTGATGATGATGGTGATGATGATGGTGATGATGATGGTGATGATGATGATGTTGATGATGATGTTGATGATGATGATGGTGATGATGATGGTGATGATGATGATGATGTTGATGATGATGATGGTGATGTTGATGATGATGGTGATGATGATGATGGTGATGATGATGGTGATGATGATGGTGATGTTGATGATGATGGTGATGATGATGGTGATGATGATGGTGATGTTGATGATGATGGTGATGATGATGGTGATGATGATGGTGATGTTGATGATGATGGTGATGATGATGGTGATGATGCTGATGATGATGATGCTGATGATGATGATGGTGCTGATGTTGATGATGATGATGTTGATGTTGATGATGATGATGTTGATGATGATGTTGATGATGATGATGGTGATGATGATGGTGATGATGATGGTGATGATGATGGTGATGTTGATGATGATGGTGATGATGATGGTGATGTTGATGATGATGGTGATGATGATGGTGATGATGATGGTGATGTTGATGATGATGGTGATGATGATGGTGATGATGATGGTGATGTTGATGATGATGGTGATGATGATGGTGATGATGCTGATGATGATGGTGATGGTGATGATGATGGTGATGTTGATGATGATGGTGATGATGTTGATGATGATGATGTTGATGATGTTGATGATGATGCTGATGATGTGTGCAGGCTGTAACTTGTCGCGATGCAGCGATGTCACCCCCAAGTGTGGACCAGGAGAGAGATTAGTCCCAGACAACAACAACAACATCAACAACAACAACATCAACAACAACAACATCAACAACAACATCAATATCACCAGTGGAACCTGCTGTCCCAAGTATCGCTGTGGTACAACGGTGGTCGTGCTGATGGTGGTGATGGTGGTGATGGTGGTGATGGTGGTGGTGATGGTGATGGTGGTGATGGTGGTCGTGGTGGTGATGGTGGATGGGAGAGAGAGATGGTGATGGTGATGGTGGTGATGGTGGTGATGGTGGTGATGGTGATGGTGGTGATGGTGGTGGTGGTGGTGATGGTGATGGTGGTGATGGTGGTGGTGGTGGTGGTGATGGTGGTGGTGGTGATGGTGATGGTGGTGGTGGTGATGGTGTTGATGGTGGTGATGGTGGTGATGGTGGTGGTGGTGGTGATGGTGGTGGTGGTGATGGTGGTGGTGGTGGTGATGGTGGTGGTGGTGGTGATGGTGGATGGGAGAGAGATATGGTGATGGTGATGGTGGTGATGTTGGTGGTGGTGATGGTGGTGGTGGTGATGGTGGTTGTGGTGATGGTGGTGGTGATGGTGGTGATGGTGGTGATGATGGTGGTGATGGTGGTGATGGTGGTGGTGATGGTGTTGATGGTGGTGATGGTGGTGGTGGTGGTGGTGGTGATGGTGGTGATGAAGATGATGGTGGTGATGGTGATGATGGTGGTGATGGTGATGATGGTGGTGGTGGTGATGGTGGTGGTGGTGATGATGGTGGTGGTGATGATGGTGATGATGGTGGTGGTGGTGGTGATGGTGGTGGTGGTGGTGGTGATGATGGTGGTCGTGGTGGTGGTGATGATGGTGGTGGTGATGGTGGTGGTGATGATGATGGTGGTGGTGATGATGGTGGTGGTGATGATGGTGGTCGTGGTGATGGTGGTGATGGTGGTGATGATGGTCGTGGTGATGGTGGTGATGGTGGTGGTGATGATGGTGGTCGTGGTCATGGTGATGGTCGTGGTGATGGTGGTGGTGGTGATGGTGGTGGTGATGATGGTGGTCATGGTGATGGTGGTGATGGTGGTGGTGATGGTGGCGATGGTGGTGCTGGTGGTGATGATGGTGGTCGTGGTGATGGTGGTGATGGTGGTGATGGTGGTGTTGATGGTGGTGGTGGTGGTGGTGGTGGTGATGGTGGTGATGGTGGTGGTGATGGTGGTGGTGGTGGTGATGATGTCGTGGTGATGGTGGTGATGGTGATGGTGGTGTTGATGGTGGTGGTGGTGGTGATGATGGTTGTGGTGGTGATGATGTTGGCGATGTTCATGATGATGATGCCCATGTTGATGATGATGCCGATGATGATGTTGCTGATTGATGATTTTGCCAATGATGATGTCGCCGATGATGATGGTGACGTTGCCGATGATGATGTTGATGATGTTGATGATGATGTTGATGATGATGTTGATGATAATGATGTTGATGATGATGATGTTGCTGATGATGTTGATGATGTTGTTGATGTTGATGATGATGCTGATGATGATGTTGATGATGATGTTGATGATGATGATGATGTTGATGATGTTGATGATGATGTTGATGATGATGTTGATGATGATGTTGATGATGATGTTGA